GCGACCTTGAAATGCGCTCGTGCCCGCCTTATTCATCTACTAATAGTAAAAATAATTTCAGTAAATGAATATTAGCTTACCTTTTGGTTTGGTGAACTATCCAAATTTACGATCAATTCTCCTGCTTCTGTCAACAACGGCGAGCTCTGTAACAATAACAATAAGTGAATGGATAAAAAATGTATTGAAAAATAAAATAAACGTTCTATTGTTTGAAATGCATTTTCAATAAAATATTTTTTTCTTTTTTATTTTTTAGTTCTTAAGAGTAATTTGGTTAAGACAATATCTGCTTTCACCTGCTTAATTGTACACATGCACATGCTTTACTTTCGAGTCTTTTATACTGAAAGTTGCAATGACGCCTTTATGTCGTGATTTACAAGAAGATTAATTGCAAGGCAGCAGTTTTTTGTGGCTTTTTAAAGGCGTTCACAAAAAACCGCTGTGAAAGCTACGGTTTCAGAGAAACTACCCTTTATCTGATAAAAGCCACTTTGAGGGATTATCGATGAATTCTGATATAACAGATATCAAGTGCAGTGTGCCGCAGAGTTCTGTTTAAGGTCTGATTTTATTTCTATCTGCCCGGTATTGACGATGCCCAACAGGCTGAAACGGTTATCTACCGATGGCTTTCAAATTGAAATCAATATGGGAATGATTAGTACTTAATTATCTATTTATCTTTTGATTTTCATGGAATTATTTTCTAGCAGCTTGACTGCATTAACCTTTCTTATGTACACATAACACGAATAAAAAACCCGAAAAACCAGTTCAACACACACATATCTAAGGATTCAAGCATATATTACAAATATATTTATTGAATTAAGAAAACCATTTATTTATTTGAAAGTTCAATGAATATTTCACGATAACTCTTCAATTTTTTTACTGCTCAGTAGAAAATTAACGAAAAGAAAAAAGGGATTCAATGTAACTTGAGTTTATTGTTTTTCATTAATTATAATATGTAGTCCCTATTACAAACATTATTATTATTATTATTTCAAGCATAGAAACTATAGATATACACTTCTACACGTCCTTTAGACATCATCGGACGTTCAATAGGTAAAAATTAGTGGAACATTAGTAATCTAATACTTGATATACTTGTAATGCGCTGTTTGGAACCTTTGGTTTAGTAATGAATATTACTGGAGTTTCTTCCCAACACCAAACCGTTATTTTAACACCTCGACACGTGTTTCGACCACCAAATGGTCATCTTCAAGAGGAAGATTAAAGTAAATATACTTATAATGTTACCCTTATGTATACCATAGATACCTCTTCTAGGCATATGTGTCTTTAGTGTCCTTATGTGATAGTCAGATGAATCTAATAAATGAAATATTATTTCAACAAGCTATATAGTATACTATTAGTTATTGGTCCACAATCGTTATTCATAACATTATTATGTTTTCTTATTTCTACACTCTCATAGGCATCTAGATGCCTGCTGTTGTTAACTTGTCTAACTAATCTTAATGAACTAAAGTCTATGGAATGGTTCTGTGGCAAAATATATTGGGAGACTGCTGATTTTTCAGGTCTTCCATATTTTAAGTGTGCTAAGTGTTCCTTATATCTTATTTTGATAGCTTTTTGTCTGTCAATAATATTTTGCATCGCAGTCATTACATTCAATTTCGTAAATGCCAGACTTTTTCGAATTCTTGACTTTGTCGTTTGGATTTCCTAAACCCACCTACCTAGTTTCTTGCAAATCTTTCCAAAGATCTTCGTGTATTGGTGGTATGGAACTGAGGTATATTTATCTTGGTTGTCGTCGTTTTAAAATGTTGAGTTTTCGTTCATCCTTATCCTAAACTTTTCTTCCTTATATCATCTACAATGCCCCTCCAGCCGGTAACGGTTTCTCGAGGGGTATTGTAGATGATATAATAAGGAAGAAAAAGTTAAGGTTGAGAATGAACGAAAACTCGACTTTTAAAAAAAACTACAAAAACCAAGATAAATATATCTCACTTCCATACCACCAATACATGAAGAACTTTGGAAAGATTTTCAAGGAACTAACTATGAAGGTGGTTTTTTAAACCAGTCATACATTACAGAGCCTTTTAGACAAAGTCGAGAATTCGGAAAAGTCTGGAATTTAAGAAATTAAATTTAGGGACTGCGCGTCCTCAGGTGGCGGATAGGGGAACGGCCAGGGGACTATGGCGGTTGCTGGGGATGAACAGATATGTCCACCCTAATCTAGTGCTCACCTCAATCTATGGCGGTGGCTGGGGATAAACAGAAATCCCAATCTCGTGCCTCGGAATGAGGCACGAGGAGCAGATCACTTCGTGACGTAACACAAAGGCCAAGGCGTAAGCGCATTTGCGGCGCTGAGGCCGCAAATGCGGCCTCAGCCGCAGAGCCTAGAGAGCGAAAGAGGAAGAAATGGCAGCAACTATAAGTGCACCCTTCTCCTCGCCCACTCCACCTCTAGCAGCAAGGGCACTTCCTGAGGCGGGCGCCAAGAGCTCCGCCTTGAATAAATGCAAAGAACCGGCTGCCCCTGCAGGAAAGTGTCTTCACTTGAACACCTCCACGGAGGGAATCCCAAGAAGGTTGAAGAAGCCGCGCAACGACTGCACCTTCCAAAACCTTCGTGGAGGCCGCCGTCCGATGAGGATGGTTCAAACAGATGACACAACTAATACATGGTGGTGCCCCAAACTGGAACACCTTAGGAAGACAGCGAGAACGATCTTAACAAGGCAAAACGTACAAGACTCGAAGAGGGCCGGGGTATAAATCAAGCCAACCTCCGAGAGTTCAAAAAAGTCTGCAGACAAAAGCAAAAGAAGCCTGGAGAGCCTACTGTGAGGCAATCGAATATTTTCCACTAGCTTCTAGGCTACAGAAGGCTCTTTCAAATGACCACCATAAGAATATCGGCATCCTGGCGAATGAAAATGGCGACACCGTCCGTCTCCGCCAACCAACAACACTCTCACAATACGACTGGCAATCTGCTAGTGCAGTAATTGATGAGGACAAGGTAAGATGGGCCATATCGGGTTTTCCCCAATCAAGTCGCCAGGACCTGACGGTATAAGACCAGCCCTACTTCAATGAGGATTGGATATTTCACAAACTACACTTAAACGATTTGATCTCCACTAACTTTATTGAAAATAATCATAACATGTTTCGCTAAAACATTAGCTTTTTCAAATGATTAATCAGGATTGGATATTCTTATGCCGCACCTGATTGGAATATTCAGAGCCTCTCTAGCTCTGAGGTATATTCCCAGTAAGTGAAAAGAAGAACGAGTGGTATTTATACCCAAACCAGGTAGGATGGACTACACCGACCAATTAGTCTCATATCGTTCTTTTTAAATACCATGGAGAGGCTATGTGAGCGGTACATAAGAGATGAAAAACAACCCACTTCATCCAAATCAGCATGCATATACTCCGGAAAGGTCTACTGACTTGGCCCTTCATCATGTGGATCGAAAGATCCTTGGACAACAAAGAATCCACCCTGGGTATATTCATAGATATCGAGGGAGCGTTTGATAAAACAACCTTTCCAACAATTACCCAGCAACTACATTCCAAGAATGTACCTCTGGTAGTAGGAGAATGGATACTCAATATGCTCTCTAATAGAACAATAAGTATCAATGAGAGAGGACTGGTCCACAGGGAGGAGTATTATCACACAGTTCCGGGCTCAAAACCTCCCGAAATCTTCGAAAGCAAATTAAACTTATCTGAAGAGATGAAATACCTTGGTACTATCCTCGACAGAAAGCTAATATGGAACTCTCACCTACAGAGTTGAGCAAAAAGAGCATATGTGGCTTATGAGCAATGTCGTTGGGTTTTTCACCCTGTGCGGTCACCTGGATCTACACTGTGATAATAACGTATGGAGCCATTACATAGGGACCGAAAGTTCTACAAGCAACGGCCATCCAAAAATTATATCAAATAGAGCGTTTGGCCTGTTTAAACTTCACAGGAGCCATGAGAACAACACAACCGCGGAAATGGAATTATTTAATGGTCTGACCTCTCTTGATCTGTACTTTAAGGAGGTTGCGTAATGGCCATGTTACGATTGCGCATGGCTGGTGTAAACCTCGAAGTAGGAATGGGAAGTTGAGGCTGAGCCTATGGCGAGAAGCGCTTAATGCACAACAGGGAGCCAGTGATGCAATTGAACCAAAGTTTGTGTTTAATTAACCCTACAAAACACAAATAAAACAGAACACAGAGTCAAATGCAACACAGCTACAAATGCAATATGCATATATACAGACGACTCAAAAAACAAAGAAGGCTTAAGATGTGGAGTGTACTCCAGATCACTATGCCTAAGGATTAATTGGGAAATGGGAAAAAATACCAGCGTGGTTCAAACAGAACTGGCTGGTATCTCAATCGCCACAAAAAAAATAACCAGGAAAGAAATTTCTGGCAAAAGAAAATGGCGACACCGTCC